CAACCCTTAAACCCTAAACCCCCCCCCCATAAACCTAAACCCTAAAACCCTAAACCCTAAACCCTAAAACCCTAAACCCCCTAAACCCTAAAACCCGACCCGAAGTTCCTCGACATGAAGCCAGGCATGGGTGCTTTCTTGAAAAAGTCCCAGTCGCTCCTGGTTCTTTGGGATGTGTCTTACGTGTCAAGGCCACGGTTTAGGGTTTAAGGGTTTAGGGTTTGGGGCCTAGGTTTAGGGTTTAGGGTTTTTGGGTTTAGGGTTTTAGGGTTTAGGGTTTAGGTTTTAGGGTTTAGGGTTTAGGGTTTGGGGTTTAGGGGGCTCAGTGCCATGTGTAGTGATTAGGATTTAGTGCGTAGGGCTGTGTTAAGGACTCTTGTGCCCCTCAAGAGGGTTCCATGTGGGCGATCAGAGTTATCGATTGGGGATCTCCCCCTAAACCCTAAGCCCTAAGCCCCAAAACCCTAGATACCCTGGCAGGTTCTCTGTAGAATACCTTATAGAATCCTTTCGGACCGCTGAATCTTAAATGGCTCCAACCCCGAACCCAAGCCCGCCAAAGAAACCCAAATCATAAAACCCAACAGGTTTAGGGTTTAGGGTACCGCACATGGACCATGAAGGTTATGTGAGCCCCTCTGCTTCAATGTTTTTCACTGTTCGCTTTTGTGGTTCGCCCTAAATCCTAGGCCCTAGACACAAAAGCCCTGAAGGGAGAGATAAGAGACCCTAAACCCCTAAACCCTAAACTCTAAACCTACAAACCCCTAAACCCCTAGACCCTAAACCCTATACCCTAAACCCTAAACACCTAACCCCTAAACCCTAAGCCCTATACCCTAAACCCCTATACCCTAAACCCCTGTACCCCTGAACCCTATACCCTAAACCCCAAGCCCCATACCTAAACCCTAAGCCCTAAACCCTAAACCCCTAGTTAGGCCCGAAACCCTATAAAGCCCCGAAGCCCCGTCAAGGGATGCTTCTTACTCACTGGCCCAAAACCCAAGGAAATAAAAGTTGAAACTTTCAGAATCGACTTCTTATAAGAACCCCAAAAGTTGAAAGGTTGAGTTTACAGCCAATAAGCTTATTACAGACCTCCTTGAGAAGAGAAGCCCGAAGTTTCCCTTTCGGGCATAGGGTTCGGGGTTTAGCGGTTTAGTGTTTTGGGGTTTAGGGTTTGGGGTTTAGGGTTTAGGGTTTAGGGTTTGGGGTTTAGGGTTTGGGGTTCAGGGTTTAGGGTTTAGTGTATGGGGTTTAGGGTTTAGGGTTTAGGGTTTAGGGTTTTAGGGTTTTAGGGTTTAGGGTTTGAGGTTCGAGGTTTAGGGTTTAGGGTTTTAGGGTTTAGGGTTTGGGGTTTAGTGTTTTGGGGTTTAGGGTTTAGGGCCGTGCCCCTGCAAGGTTGTGGTGCGTGTTTGAGATGGCGGCATTTCTGCACAGTAAGGGGCCGAAGGCTGCGACGTGTCTTCAGGTGGGTGGTTGTCAAAATTATGGTCCCTTTTTGGGTCCTTATTATAATACGGCACCGAATATTTAGGGTACCCCAAAAGGGACCCTAATTTTGACAACTACCCAGGTATGTCCAGTCTTCGTCGGCCCAGCTTTCTTGGCAGGGCATTTGGGACTGAGTGTGCTCGTCTTCGTCTTCCTCTGGCCCTCTGGTGCCCCAATAGTAACGTTTAGGGTTCAGGCTTTAGGGTTTAGTGTTTCGTATTGTTTCTTGTTTCACGGTGGGCGGGTGTAAGCTCTGAGCATTCCCTGCACTAATGGTCCTATTGTGCTTTGTTTGCATAGGCATAGGCCACAAAACCCTAGTTAAAGCACTAGGCTATAGAACCTGAGGGAGCCAATCCACCAAATTCGGGCTTTTGCACAGTAAACGCTAAGTCCAGGTCACAACTCCCCAACTGCCCACATCCTCAACCCTAAAGCCCTAAAGCCCCCAAAATCCCACAACCCTAAACCGAAAAGAAACCCTAAACCCTAAGTCAAAAAAACAGAGGCTCACCCTAAACCCTGGGGCCTGGACTCCAAACCCTAAACCCCAAAGCCTAAGCCCCAGAACTCTAAACCCTAAACCTCTAGGGGTTTGGGCTTAGTTGGGTATGAGTCTTTGGGGTTTAGCGTTTAGGTTGAGAGTTTAGGCCCTAAGCTCTAAGCCGAACCCTGTCCAACTCTAGGTCGCAATTGCCCTTCTTTCCCTGGGCTGGTCTCTTTCTGGGCGGCCTCGCCCTGCCCTGTCTGGGGCTCCTGGCCGACTCTTTGTACAAATAAATAGCTCTGTGTGTGTCTGTGTGTGTGTGTGCGCGTGTAAGTACATATATCGCATATGTATATAAGCTCTCTCTCTATATATATATATACATATTTGTTTATTTAATCTTTATATATATATATACATATCTCTGTTTATGTACACACACACATATATATATATATGAACATACGGAGATGCACGTACACATATCAATCACCTCTAGCGTTATTTCCGTTTTTATGTGTATACATACATACATACATACATACATACATACATACATGCATATATATATATATAGACAGAAAGAAGGATAGACAGGCAGCTAGATGGATGGATGGATGGATGGATGGATGGATGGATGGACGGATGGGTAGATAGATAGATTGTCCTATAAACAAGTTGGCATGTCATTATGTGATACGGCATGATATGATATGGTATGATTTGATATGATATAGTATGTTGTGATGTGACATGATATGTTAGTTTTTGATATGTGATATGACATAGTATGATGTGATATGATATGGTATGATGTGATATGAACTACATATGCAGACTTGTTCGTGTGTATGTATGCTGTGTGTGTACGTATATTCTGATTTACGACGAATGATATCGGTTGTATGTGTCTATATGCAAACATGTGTGTGTATATACATATATACACATGCACGCACGCACGCACACGCACGCACACACACACACACACACACACACACACACACGCACACGCGTATGTACGTGTGTGTGTGCGCGCGTGCCCGAGCTGGTTCGTGTATCGGGGTTCTTGTGAATTGGCACTTTGTTTCAAGCCATTTTGGGCTTCTTGCTTTTGCATTCGTGTAAAATCTACGCTGCCATATGTTTTCGTGTGTTGGCCTTGGGCTTCAGTGTAATTGTGAGCCGCACAACCCTAAACCCCAAACCCCTAAACCCCAAACTCTAAACCCTAGACCCCTAAACCCTAAACCCCGAAAACCCTAAACCCTGAACCCCTAACCTAAACCTAAAACCCCGGACCCCTAAACCCTAAAACCCTAAACCCCTACCTAAACCCCAGACCCCTAAACCGATAAACCCCTAAACC